CTGAACGAATGTAGCTCTTTAGCCCAGCTAGTTACCTACGTACTCTAGCACAAACAGGGCCCTTAAGAGGTTTAACAGCGGGTTGCACATTATCATGCAATTTAAAATGTCACATGAAACCGCTTCTGGACCCACATATCTTACCACAAATATCACACTTCAATTGCTGGACGTCTACAGTTTTATTGTCAATAGTGGCTATTCGGTGCGCTCTCAATTGACTCCTTAGGACAGCCATCGACAAACACACTCTGCCACAATCTATACACGATCAAGCTATGTGCGGGTGTATTCAGGAAGTTCAACGGCTTTACGCACATCTCTTTTAAGCTTTACGTACATCCTTTTCCCATCTTCAAAGTGAAGCCTTCCTCTACTAGCAGCCTCATTCCAATTATTGCGATTAGATGCACATTCTTCCCAGTGTTTCCAAGGAATGTTGCTTTACCATATATATGTGCATACATAGTTGGTTTTACAAATGGCACCCTAATTAAAAAAAGAACACAATTCTTTACTTCGAAAGTATTTCGAGGAGATACTAATAACACTATTAGCAACTATAAAAACAAAAACGTCAAAAATATTACATTATATTACCAATCGACACTAAATACATTCTTAAAGAATCTAACGTATGTTTATTTACAAAAAAACGGTATGAAAGTAAAAAGTTCCATGATCGACATATGAAGAAAACATCAAACATATTACCTACTAGACTTAGACACACACCTGTCTATATCTCTGAGATGAAGTATTACGACTACTTGCATTATTTACATTATTCAGACTGTTATCCTCATCTTCATTGTCATATTCACAACGTTTCGGCTTCTATATCTCTGAGATGAGATATTACGATTACTTGCATTATTTACATTATTCGGACTGTTATTCTCATCTTCATTGCCATATTTACAACGGTCTATCTCTGAGATGAGGTATGATTACTTCTAATTCGGTCTGTTATCTTCTTCTTCGTTGTCATACTCACAATGTTTCGGTGTCTATATCTCTGAGATGAGGTATTATGATGACTTACATTATTCGGACGCTTCTCCTGATCGTGACTGCCATATTCACATCGTTTCGGCCCCTATATCTCTGAGATTAAATATTATGATTACTTGAATTATTTACATTATTCGATCTGTTATCCTCATCTTCATTTTCATCTTCACAAGGTTTCGACGTCTATATCTCTGAGATGCGGTATTATGGTTACTTGGATTATTTACATTATTCGGGGTGTTTTTCTCATCTTCATTGCCATATTCACAACGTTTCGGCCTCTTTGTCTCTAAGATGAGGTATTATGATTATTTGCATTATTTACATTTTTCGGACTGATATCCTCATCTTCATTGCCATATTTACAACGTTTCGGCTCTCGTACTCTCTGGCCTTCTCTAGGTGATTGGAATTTCGAACCGAACCTTTTATTTTGTCTACCGCGTAAGTTTGCTCTAGTTCCAAGGGCCATGCCACTTCCGGATGTCTTCAAGGGCACATGGCCCAGTGGATAAAGACGTTGGTTAGATCCAGTGACAAGACCCAATATCCTCCAATTGACATCGAAGTATTCTGAAATGGTTGTATCGGAGCTTCCGACGCGAATGCCAAGCAGTACAACATGGCGTTTCCAAATTTCTGGTGGAGTGAAATGCGCTGTGGTACTCTTTTTAACGCGGATTGTGCCCAATTGACCCTACTATACTGTGCACTCGACAAAATAAAAAAAAAACAACGTAAAAATATCAAATGGCGACATTTTACCAATCGTGCGCGCGCGCACACACGCGCACACACACACATATGTATGTATGTATGCCTGTGCGTGTATGTCTTAATTTAAAAGGCATAGAACAACCAACGTGTTATTAATTCTGCCCTGACTTGTAGTCAGTTTAAACATCTCCAATAGTAACCGGAGGCACATCATATTTGTTGTAGCGGACATACATAATAGCAACAGCAGCTGACTTATCTTTACAAACCAATATTTTTAAAAATACATTCTCTATTTTCTTTTCTTTTAAATTCTACTTTTCCTTGTCGAAAAATATAAATATATGGCCCCAGATTATGTTGTCATCGAAAACATTCCTTTCTCCACAGCTAATCATATATTTCTCGTATTTCTTGGGATATATATTTTCATAAAATTTCAACCTGTCTTATATATTTGCCTTTATTCTGTTTCACTTTGTTGTAAATATTTTTGATTGATAAAAGTTGAGCATCGCTTAAATTTACAAAGCCCTCATTTGAGTGAGAGACGAGTGAGTCCTCAGTATATATACACTCCACTTTCTATGTTACCCTAACAATGGTCTAGCTCTTCTTGGGCCTTTTTTTAAAGGAGTACAGAACTGCGATTAATTTATTGCATCCCACGTCTTCGATTATTCCTGTTGTTTTATCCAAACAGGAACCACAATGTTGTTGCTGTTTACAAGATCGTTAAGTAAAAGTGGTTGTGAATCGATAATAAATGAGTAATCATTCAGACAAATTTGATTTGTACTTCAGAAAAAATACAAAGATGTCATGCATTCCGTTTTTTCCGCTCTTATTTTATCAAGCCATTTATCAACGTTTTTTTTATTGCCTCAGGTGTAATAAAATGTTTGGTGACTTGGAAATATATATACTGACGCGTTTTAAAAAAAAATAACTGATATCGATTGAAAGAAATAAAAGATATATGCAAAATGATATGTATGAATAAACTAATGGAAGAAAAACAGGTTTAGGGAGACAGATATTTGAATCTGAATACAATGAGTGTGTGTTTTAGTTAAAGACTCTTCCATCAAGTTGTAATTATCGACTGTGTATAGTTGGAGCATGAGTGATCGAGATTCGTAACAGAAGTAACGTTTCAGCCATTTCGCTGCCGTGGGATGATGGCCTAGGGGTAAGACATCTGACATGTCAAATCGGTCGGGTTTCGATCCAGGCTTGAAGCATTCGGACGTCTAGACGCACTGAAGAGCTGCACTCTCTCTCTATATATATACATATTTATTTGAACATTAATTTTTATCGATTCTTAAAACACCCTTATTCTTCAACAGTGCAATTTACGTCCACCGATATGTCACTGCTGCCCACTCATACATACATACATACATACACACACACACACACACACACACACACATACACATATATATATATATATATATATATATATATATATATATATATATATGAATAAAAATAAAAAGAAAGAACAGTAAGATATGTAAATTTACAGAGCATTAATATTATAAATTAATTGATTTAAATTATGGTTTTTCCGCTACGCAGTTCTAACCATGTTTCAAAAATGGAAGCTAAAAGCCACAAATTTAATTTTGCAATTAAATTAAAGACATTAGTTCCATTTCATCCTCAAGCATTTTTTGGAGTAACTTTTAAAATTACTGGATTTTAAAGACACAGCTAAAATCCAGTTTCCATGGTTACAGATAAATCTACTTCAACTGGACAAGGGGTGTCTGGGTTGTCCTCATGTCTGTATCATTGTATCGGTTATTAGCTACATTTTGGTAAGGGGTAGGGATGTATTTTTCAATGAAAACTGACATCCGTTGAATGCATGTCTTATATATATATATATGTGTGTATATATATATATATATATATATATATATATATATATATATATATATATATAATATAAATGAACATAAAGTCAAGCGACAGTCTGTTTCATGCTTGATCCAATCGTGACCTGACGATTGCATCTAGCATGAAACAGACAAGTGTTGACTTCTATGTTCACTTTTATATTTACACACGCTCTATCTCTGATATTGAGCACTTTATCCCATAAAAATAGCACATCCTAGGACTATATTTCTTCACACACACACACACACACACACACACACACACACACACACATATATATATATATATATATATATATTTATTTATTTTAACATTCATTTTTATTGAAACACCCTTGTTTCAACAGTGCAGTTTACGTCTACTGATATGTCACCGCTGAATGTTGGTACTAACACAACTGCCCACTCCCATATATATATATATATATATATATACTCTTGGTCACAATTCTCGGCACGTATGAAATTGCAGTGTATCATGAAGAATATCGATTTAAACAACTCTAGGATATTCGAAAGCATTTTATAAAAGAACCAAACGTAAAAAATAAGAAAACATAAAACGATTATTACCACTTTGTTATTGCCATCTTTTTAAAAAGGAAAACCATTTTCACTCATCTGCGATAACTCAATTAGAATCATTCATGAAAGTCTATCCGATAGAAATGATAATTTCAATATATTAGTAAGCTATATATTTCCTGTCCATTTGTCATTTCACTGAAATTTAAAAGAAATTAGACCATGACTTCTAAGGATTATTTCAACATCTCCAAAATTTCCAGTATCCCAGTTTAAACAATGTTATTCAGAATTTTAGAATACAATTCTTTTATTACGTACCCTACGGCGTACACCTAATCCCGCAGATCGACCTGGGTTAGAAGTTAAACTACATACGTGTTCTGCGTAAGACGTCAAACTGCGTCCAGCAGCAGGGCCTCTAATTGAGGAGGTGGAATCGCCTACTAATTGCTGGTGTTCCCAGGTCCGCCCTGAACCGGGTTGGTAGCGTCTGTTAGGGTCTTAACTATGGGCAAATAGTTAACTATTGCCAGCAATACTTTCTTTGGAAAAATTATTCCCAGCAATGCGGTTTTGAAGGAAATATATTGCCAGAAACAGATTTTTGACAAAACAAAATATTACCAGCAATAAAAATTTTGTCAGCATTAAATAGCCTGTTGAGGTTGATCCGCCGTAGAACAAAATAAACGAAACTAATCTTAACCAACAATACATACTCTATTCATACGAATCTGTCCGAAAAATGTTGTCGGCTTTAAATAACCTATTGAGGTTGATATGCCGTAAAACAAAATAAACCAAACCAAACCTTAACCACGCAAGGCTTTATGGAAGAAGGCCAAGGAAAACACCATTACTGAAGAAAAAAATGAAAAGAAACCACAGATTTATTGCAGAGTACTCGTGTAAACTCCAATTGTTCTGGAAAAATGTTATATTAAAATAAAACAAACAAATATAGAACCTTTTGTCAATGCAGAACAATTATACGTTTAAAGAGGTCAAGATGAAACATATAAGAAAAATAATATCCGCTAACTTTAAGGAAACTTGAAATCTGAAGAATGGCAAGGGTTTTTTTGGATCAAAAATGCGTTCCTCAGTGTAGGTTTTAGTCGAAGAACATTTATTTTCTAGCAAGTTAATGATCCAAGGAACACGTACAAATGTCCAGAGGAATGAATGAAAAGAAAGAAATGGACTGTTTTAAAATGCAATGCAATCAGTCCTGATTTCAATCTCATTACAAATCTATAGGGTCAACTGAAATTTTCGCATTGGTGAAATGGATCCTGCAAATTTAGAAAAGCTAAAAAACAAATTGCAAAGGACGTGTCAGAGAAAACAAACGCTGAAATGTTTAAGACGAGATACAGATGACGACCAGAATTATTTGAATGCAGTGATCGCTGCCAAAGAATCAAATATTAAGGAAAGGCTGTCTCTACTAATGTTCAATTCATTATTATTTTTTCATCTTTGAAATTAGATGTAAGTTGAAAAAAATGCTGGTTAATTTATTTTGGACAAGCAATTAAAAATTATGATGACATAAATTTGTGTCGTCAATTTATTTTTATGTGTATATGTGTATAGATGGGTATATGCATGTGTGCATGTGTATGTATATTTATGTATGTGAAAAGTGTGTATATGGATATACATGAATATGTGTATGAGTAGATATGTGAATATATTTTTATATGTGTGTACATGGGTATATATATGTGTGTATATGGGTACACGCCTATGTGTATATACGTGTATATGTTATTGTCTATGTGTGTATTTGCATGTGTTTTTGAACATAGAAATATAGGTCATTGCTGGATTAGATAATCGTTATATTCATTTTTTATATGTTTATATTTGATTTGTAACCTGTAGTCGATATTAAATTTGTCAAATTTTCTCAATTACAAAGCGGCCATTTAACTAAACGCAATTTCACTTTTCTTCGCCCCATCTCTCTCCCCCACCTCGTCTTTCCCTCCCTCTTATTCTAACATTAGATTGTCTATGGTGTGTGTATGTCACCACGAAATGTATCTTTATGCATTAGACATCCGACAATAATTTTTCTCTTACTTAAACCCCTTCCACCCACCTCTACTAATATCCTCTCTGTTAAGGTTTAATCTCCCCCCACCTCATACTTACACTCTCTCTAAATTCTTTTTTTTATTTCCGGAGTTGTTTTTTTCTGTTTTCTTTTTGAATTTGTAGGTCTGATGAATTGGATCGTATTTACGATTTCAATGGAATAAATTATGACCATGGAATATTATTGTTTAAGTCTTTTTTATTATATATATATATATATATATATATATATATATATATATATATATATATATATATATAAAGAGAAATCGAACGTCTCACATGTCAAATAAATCGGTTTTCGAACAAAAAATTCGAGATGAAATGCGTCGGTTATCGAACAAAATTTCGGTTCCCGAACAAAATTGCCAGAACCGGGCCTACCGAGCCAAACTGAGCCAAACCAAGTTGACCTGAACGGAATCATTTCGCCATGTTGTATACATTCGTGTGTTGTGCTGTGCTTTTCTTTTCCAATTTTATTGTAATGTGCTATTTATTTTTCTCTTTATTAGTCCTGATTCATGGCTTCAAAGAAAACTAACAGTGATACGGGAAAAGGAAAAAGAAAAGTTAAGAGAAAAACAATTATTGATGATATTGTTTCTATGGCGATGGTACTATCTCTTCCTACTCAGTTTCATATGGCAAAATCAATGATCTATGCTATTCTTATAAATAAAGAGACGATCATGTCTTTCATTCCCTTTTCCAAACAATATCATCACTTTCCTTCCCCTACTCCTTGCGACATTAACTCTATTACTTGGTAATTTTAACGTGTTTGTTTATATTTTATCTGTTTAGTATTGAGTTTATTTATTTTTTCTTAGATTTTCCTTAGTTTTGTGTATAAACTTGTGCACAAAATACTTTTTTAAAAGTTTAAATAAGCAGACATCTTGAAACCAGGAATGGATTAATTCATTTTGCAGTGATTCCTATTGGAAAAATAGTTTCGTTTAACGAACCATTTCGGATAACGAACGGGCTTTAGGAAAGAATTAAACCGAATATATGTGTGTGTGTGTGTGTGTGTGTGTGTGTGTGTGTGTGTGTGTGTGTGTGTGTGTGTGTATGTATACATAAAGTATGCATATATATAATATATATATATTCTTATATATATATATATATATATATATATATATATATATATATATATATATATATATATATATATATATCAGAATGAGAGGCCACGGATTTTTAAATTAAATACATATAAACTAAGTTTAAATAAAGACTTGGGTATTTTAAATCTTTATAAATATTTCAATAGTTAAACATTTTTAGATATAGTTAATTTTTTTTTAAA